AAAAGGACTGAAGCTGACTCTGTACCTGACATTGCTGTTTATTGGTTGTTCAAGGGCCTTTATTTTATTTTTCGATCCATATAGCTCGCGAGGAATCCTGGGCCTGCTCACTACTTACATCACGTGGTCTTTAGGCCTTCCGTGCGTCCTTGCGGCTCTCGGTCTTCTGCTTCTCGTGTTCGCAGACGCGACAAAGATGAATCTTGCACCTCCGCGCTTTCAGAAATTATCCACCGCAATGGGTGCGATGGTTTTCAACATTCTCATCGTTATCGCAACAGATCTCATTTTCCTTCTCACCAGCAAAGGCTTCATTTTGCTAATACTTTGTTACGTTTATTTTCTACTTCTTGGCCTGATACTTACCTCCGGATTCCTTCGAATTGGATGTCAGATTTCCAACAACTCGGCGGCACAAATTTACGGCGATGGAGGCCTTTCCAGGCTTCGTATCCTCGCTTTTATCTCTGCTACTCTCAACATGCTCTTTCTTGGCGTCCAGACCTACTCGGTTATCGAATTTGGCGTCCTATCGGAAATGCCCTGCGCATGGCCCTGGTACGCTGTACAGACCCTACTGCGGGCGCTTGAAGTGAGCATGTGTCTTGTGATGATGGCTATTGTGTTTAATAACAGATTCAGTTCATTTTCATTTTGTTGTAAAAAATTTCGCCAAAACCGATTTAACAACACTGTTTCACCTTTGCCACCAGGTTTTGCAAAGGCATAAACAAGTAAAAACCCTTATAGTCAAGAATTCGCAACCTTATACCGCTTGTTGGCCCCTAGGAAATCAAAGCTCTTCGCCAATGCTACTGGCTGTAGAATAAAAGGATTTCTTTGACGGCAGACTCTCTTTTTTAAAAAAAATTAATGACTGGTCTGAAAGGCGAGCCTAAAATAGCTGTAAACATCTGTTAAAGTTTAATGATCTTAGGGAATGTATACGTAGTTCGAGTGTTCTTTTTAGTCTGTCTTAAAGCAATGAGCCGCATTCTACCTAGTTTCCATATTTTTCTACTCTCACCAAATGGTCGTGGGTTATCAAGATATAAAAATTAAAAGGCTTCATAAACAAAGAAGCCGAAAGAGCGAAGAGCTTTTTCTTTTAGGGCCAAAGAATTCGAAATATATTAAAAACGGCAGGTTGCGGTAAGTCATGCGGTAGAATAGCCGGAAAAACAAAGAGCAATTAAAGAAGCAGCTGTAACGGCTTAGAGAATCTGCTTGTAGTCTGAGAAAAAGTAGGCAATGGCCTCTCTGAGGAATATTTAAATTTTCAAGTCATTGTCTGCTATTTTCTTTTGTTCCTCCTTTCTTGAACACATTCGTGATATCTAAAGAAGGTTCTAAAGCGGTTGATGAAGACAAGTTTCTCTTGCTCGTCAATGCACCAGGTCATACATATACACCAACCGATGCCACAGGTTACCCAAACTTACAAACTGTACCGTACGAGTTGGGAATCTGGGTACTAGAAACTGAACAAGGGATCGAAGTTTGTATTGAATAAACCTCAGCCAAAATTTGCGTTTATTATCGCAAGAAATTAATGATGTATTTACCACATGTATGTGGCTTTTAGTAGCGTTTATTTTTTTATGAGTATTCGTGAGGGGAAGAGTGTATAAAAGCGTTAAAAACGACTCAAAAAAGGCCCACAAGCATGGTCCTCTGCTTGAACAACACGTAAAAGTTCTTAGTGAAACAATTAACTAAGCACAGCACTGATTTCAGGTGAGGAGAGAAAGAATAAGAATGAAAGAGTAGGTGGCTGAAGCGAAGGCGTTTTTGAAGGACGCACATCAACCGGAAGTCTGGCCTTTTTCCTTTTTACATGCTTTGACGCTCCCAAATTTGCATTACTCAGTGTCTTTACCCCTAGAGACACCATTTGCCCGAACATTTGGGCAAGTCCACTGCCCAAGAGTGCAAAACATCAACTTTCCGTTAATGTACGTCACCCAATAACGCGTGAGAAGCGTGCCGGGGAGGGAGACAAGACAAAAACGGCTGCGATGGACCATGGAAGCCGGGGTGGGGCTGAGTTGAAGGGAAATGGGCAATCACGTTGAAAAGAAAAAACCTAGTCATGTAAGCTCCATGATCGTTTTTTTGTGTGTAAACTAAAACTCTCTCGGAACTCTCTCTGAAGGCCATGCGAGAAATTTCATTTAAAAATCAGTGTTTCTTGTAGGCCAAAACGTATTTATATAAGTGTTCACCCGAGTTTAGGTTTTTTTTTTTTTTGTTTCAACATACGGTAAGAAAGTGGCAATATAAGTTCATAGATTTCTCAAAGTCCTTTTATATTATCACATTGGCCCGCAGATGTTATCCTCCCATATCGATGATTTGCGATTTCTGCCCTCTTCGTTTAGAAAAGCGCGATTTTTAACAATTTATTATCACTAAATGTATTAAATGATTAAACAACACTATACTTAACAACACCATATGATTATGTAATATTAACAGCAATGTGGTTATCTAACCATATGCGAGAGGACTTCGAGAACAGACTTCCTGAGAAGTTGAAAGACTGCTCTACCTCGAAGTCTTTCGAAAACAAACTTCAGCGAATTGAAGTTTGCAAATTGTAATGAACAATCCTTAGCAATTCCTTAGTTAGTTTCTTAGTTAGTAATAGCTGATCACTGCGTTTTTTTTGTTATTATATTATTTATTTTTTCTGAGGGCCGTGTGTAGATTATCGGGAGATATTAAGTGCTAACCTCACTAAAAAAGTTTTATTATTATTATTATTATTATTATTATTATTATTATGTGTAATCCAGTTAACTTTGACTCTTTGTTGAGCTACACACCTTTTCTTTTTCTTTTTCCTGTTCTTTGCTCTTCTTTTCTTTCATTTAGTACCCTTAACTTGTATGGTTTACCCTATAGTTCCAGGAAGCCTATAGTTTATAAGCCCCCGGCTTCTATATAGGCTTCCTTGCCTTTACCATATTTAATCTTGTAAATAACTTAGTTGGAATATTGTAATCAAACTATCTGAGGGCTGAAACTGAGAGTGGGGTTCAGTGCCCTCCGGGGTCCCTCAGGGAACAAAATTAGGTCCATGGCTGTTTCTTGTACTTATAAATGACTTATATGTTGATGATTTAGCTAATGTATGAAAGTATGTTGACGATACGACAGCATCAGAAGTCGTTGCCAAGGGCAACCACAGTTGTGCCCGGAATATCGCAAATAAGGTCGTGGAGTGGTCTATGCAGAATAGAGTCAAACTCAATAGCGAAAAGTGTAAGGAGCTCAGAATATCTTTTGTAAAGAATGAGCCCCAGTTTGCGCCTATTGTAGTAGATGGTAAAGAACTAGAGAGAGTGACTAGTGCGAAACTACTAGGTCTGACCATATCGAGCAACCTTACGTGGAACGAACATATCAGTGACGAAATCAAGAAAGGGTCAAAGCGTCAGTATTTTTAGTGCAGTTAAAAAGATCAAGAGTTCCTCGGCATGATATGTCCACCTTTTACACTGCTTGTATACGCTCTGTTCTTACGTACGCGGCACCGGCCTCTTTTTATGCCTTGCCAAAGTACCTAAAAGACGAGTTGGTGCGAGCTGAGAAGCGGGCAATGTCTATAATATGCCCAGGACTGCCCTACCAGGAGACCATCGAACTAGTGAACATTGTCCCTATTGTAGATTTCATCACGGGGCCATGTAGTAATACTTTCGACATCATTATAAAGGACCCTGAACACTGTCTGAACAGGTTAATACAATTTAGTGGACCATCACGTTATGCCCTAAGGTGCAACAGGCGCTTCATCGTACCTAAATGCAAGACAGATCGTTTTAGGAACAGTTTTATTATTAGATCCTGCATCGATAATATATATACGTAGATTTTTAGTCCTTTTATCATATTTTTTATACTTTTATATTTACTGTACTTAGTTTTATATACACATTTTATCAGTTCAAACGTTTGTAAAGCCTTCCGGCTGCAATGTATTGGTTATTAAACTATCTATCTATCTATATATCTATCTATCTATCTCACTGTATATTATCTTTAATGTATTTCTGTATACTGTTGTTGTATTTCTGGTTAATGGCAAAATAAAATGAATGAATGAAATGTTATTGATTTCACTAGCCTTTAAAAAGTCCCTCCAGAATTTGGCATTGTTTACAATTTCTCTAGCCGAGGAGAAATTGAACACAAGGCGGCTTACGCAAAATTTTGGAGGGACAACAAAGAGTGCCAAGAGTATTATGGTATTTTTGAAAAAGGCTTATTGACTTCGCCTATTTAATCACGTCTAAGGACCTTTATACCCAGTAAAACACTGCAAACCGAAAGGTAAGGGAAGGGCTTTGAATTCAGCCTCAGGAAAATACGGGGTCGGCAATTTGAACATCCGAGTTTTTGCAGTGCGTGACACCAAAATAGAAATGCTATCTCCTCTTGATTTTCAGCAGCGTAACCATTTCAAGTATTAGAAGATATGTTTATGCGTACGTATGCTAGTTGTCGAGTGAAAAGAAAGAGCTTTTGAATTCCAGATGTTTTTGTTGATTTCCGGCGGCGATATTGGTGCACCAAAACGGTGCACCAATATGGCGTCTCAACACAAAGCTCTACAAAGGTGCGTGAAACGTTTCGGCAAAAAACTCAGAAACGGCGGACCACAAAGACCTGAGACTTTGACAAATTGTTTATATATTAGTCTTTCATAACATTACATTCTCTTGGCTTCTTCCACTGGACGGTTTCCAATTTTTTTTTTTGTTGAGTGACAGTGAAAACGATCTATACAAATAAGTGGTGTGAGATGAAAATAACTGACCGTGGTTTGTCTTTTCATCTTACAGAACTGCTCAAGTTTTAAAAATACCTAACCAAGAGAAAGATTTGTGTCTAATATTAGCCTTATGGCAAGATTATACGTAAGATATTTTTAAATTCTACTGTTTAATTTGAAATAATAACCACGAGGACGATCATATCTTTTTTAAAGTATTTTAAATCAGTTTATGGCACGCTTGAAAGTGATCAAAATTAAGGTGACCCCAGACTCCTGAAGAATGGTCAATCAACCGCAACTGAGCGTGTTTACCAACGTAACTCGTTACATTCCAGCTTTTCTCTGTCATGGCTTCAGCACACCTCTTAGCTGTCTGAACGAGAACAACTTGCCCTTCAATTATCAGCTCCGCACGAAGGTCTTGAAAACTAGGATCACAGCCTCCTCCAATCAGGAACCTGAGGGACTTTCCAGTGATCGAAAAACCAGGTGACGTCATTGAACCTTGAGGACTATCGTATTGATATCTTCCAACCGGATAAGAGGGACTGGGCCGATTCTCGAAGGTACCAATCCACCAATCCCCTTTGTGGTTGCTAAAATGCCCTCCCCGCCGGGCTGATGGGATATCCCCGTATGTTGGCTGATTATTGAATGCAGTACCAGTCAAAGTCCACTGTGATAGATTATGATCTTCGAAGTCAAATATAGTGTAACACTCTAGTGGGAACAGAAGATAAAGATAAATGACAGTGCCGGGAGCCCATAATCAGGAGCGAGGAACTCCCATACTAGGTCTATGTCATGGCGTTTTTACGGACCGGTTTATTTTTAGACACATTTCAGGGCACTTTTTCCCGCGAAAATAGAATCTCCACCATGTCCATGGGCGCATTCGAAGTATAAGATATTAAAAAGGAAAACTAAAAAGACAAAAAATATCATGTTTTGCTGACTGGTTTGTGGTATTCAAAATTCGCACCAAAACCGTTCGTCCGTCGTGAGAACGCCTTGACACGAGCGCATGGAAGTTGCTCGCTCCGGGTCTTGGGCTCCGGACAGTGTGAAATGACTGTGACTGTGAGATGAGAAAATAATTTGTTCGTATGAAATTGGCCAGAGAAACATTCAGTGCGAACGCTTTTCTCCTGATTTCTAAAAACGCCTTAGGATATAGAAAACACGTTGGTATTTAAAGGAGATGTGTCACGAAATCTATCAAAATTTAAACAGTAGGAAATGCCAACAAATTGAGTGAAACATAAATAAAATAACTGCTAAAAAGTTCAAAAAAAAGGTATAATTATTATAACACCACAAAGGGAGTTACTGATGGACAAACTTGAAGAAGATTAAAACTGATTACAATGGCTGTTTTTGAAAACTTGTCAACCTAACAGTTTTTCAGAGTTTTTTTGTTGTTGTTATTTGTAACGTTTGATATGATGCTTGGGAGACATATTTGTTTGACACAAAGTTGTGATTTCAATTCACAAGTTATTTCTCTAAAGGATGAAAAGCAACGCTATTAAAACAAGACGTTTCGGCGACGACACGTCACCATTATCAAATGCAAATGAAAGAGACTATCAAACTTTTTTTAGGACCCTTAAAAGGATGTTCAAACGTTCTCCGAGATTAGTTGGCTCTTGTTGGTGTTTTTTTCGTTATCAGAAGTTATATCTCAACTTCCAAATTGCGAATAAGGGTCAATAAGGACATATGATTGGCATTATTGACAAAATGAACTAGACAGACGTCAAACAGCCCCTTTAAGGCGCTAGTTTTTTTAAAAAAAAAAATACGCTAGAGGGAGAAAGAATATTCCGCTTCGTATGGCACACCAGTAAACGTCATATTTGAGGGGTTTTTTCTGATAGTGATCAGGTATTGCTGTCTTTTGCAATCGCTTTCAACCGAGTTGGCAATGATACTGGCTTACCTGTGCAGTTGTATCCGCCTCCATAGAAACCAGTGTTGCAGGTACATCTGAGAGATCCTTTTGTGTTAGTACAAGTTGCGTTCGCTCCACATCTTATTTCTTGACATTTGTCTATATGTAGAACAATTTTGAAATACTGTGAATCATTTCAACCCCTCGCCTTATCACAGAACAAGCAACGTTGAATGTAGCGAGCCACACATCGCAGAATCATGCTTCACCGATAACTTCTTTGTAGTAATAATAATAATATAACCATTAGTATTATCATTATCATTGTTGCTGTCTTTCTTGCAGATTCAGTCATGTCCAATAATCACTGCTTGTAAGTCAAGTCGAGAAAGTGAGATTCAAGTGGTGCAACTCGTGTACGAGTTACTGGTGAATGCGACACATTCGAATAAAGTAAATGAGGTATAAAAATACGCTGCTGTTCTGTTTCAATGCCACTGTTTAAAACAACTAAGGACAAACAACAACAATAACAAGGACCCAAAAGAAATACTGGGATACCTGTGCAGTTGTATCCGTCTCCATGGAAACCAGTATTGCAGGTACAACTGTAAGATCCCTTTGTGTTATTACAAGCTGCGTTCTTGTTACACTGGTGAATATTTTGATCGCATTCGTCAATATCTAAGATGAAATAGTTTTAAAGTACGATCATGGAAAGCCGATCCAATAATATGCTTATGTGGAAAGTATGCAATGAGACACCAGTAACGACTACGGCGAAATCTATCGCTAAAAAGCAAAGTTAATGACTTACATTTCTATTGTTGGCCCCTTTTTTAAGCCCAACTTATTATTAAGAACAACAGCACGCTCTAACAAGCACGGGGCTTCTTTCTATCAGACAAATTTTGTCAGTCCATAAAAATGAGCTAAAGCCAGATAGGATTTATTTCATTTTCTACTAACAGAGTCGTCCTTGAACGAAATTGAAACTGATAGTGGTCATATAAAATTGTGCAAAAAGAATCAAGAAACGACCATACTCCCAGGAAACTAATGCGTGGGTGTTTCTTAAGAGAAATCGTTTTCCCTCTAATCGGAAACTTCTTTCGTTCAATTAACGCGCTTAAAGGGGACCAACAGAAATATTTTATGTGAAACAACAGCAAGCTTTATTTGCACGACTATAACAAATACAGTGTTGCAAAAGCTGTTTGTAACAGGTAAGAATTCATTCGTTATGAATTAACTGTTAACATAACATAATATATAGATTTAGCCACGGCTAAAAGCGAAGCTCCCATTGATAAATTTATAACTTAAATCAAACAACAATTTTGTATTCCACAAATCAGTTAACTTAAGGGCACATTCATGTGACGTTTGAGGGAAAAGCTAAGTGATTTTGGAGTGAAACAAATCTTGTATCGAGTTGATATAGCCTTATATGTACATCCAAAAATAGTCTTCGGTCACATTTAAGAGCAATAATGGCTCTTGATCACAGTAGATAAGGCGTGGAAAACAAATTCTTGGAAAACACATCTTATTTCTTGACATTTGTCTATATGTAGAACAATTTTGAAATACTGTGAATCATTTCAACCCCTCGCCTTATCACAGCACAAACAACGTTGAATGTAGCGAGCCACACATCGCAGAATCATGCTTCACCGATAACTTCTTTGTAGTAATAATAATAATATAACCATTAGTATTATCATCATCATTGTTGCTGTCTTTCTTGCAGATTCAGTCATGTCCAATAATCACTGCTTGTAAGTCAAGTCGAGAAAGTGAGATTCAAGTGGTGCAACTCGTGTACGAGTTACTGGTGAATGCGACACATTCGAATAAAGTAAATGAGGTATAAAAATACGCTGCTGTTCTGTTTCAATGCCACTGTTTAAAACAACTATGGACAAATAACAACAATAACAAGGACCCAAAAGAAATACTGGGATACCTGTGCAGTTGTATCCGTCTCCATGGAAACCAGTATTGCAGGTGCAACTGTAAGATCCCTTTGTGTTATTACAAGCTGCGTTCTTGTTACACTGGTGAATATTTTGATCGCATTCGTCAATATCTACGATGAAATAGTTTTAAAGTACGATCATGGAAAGCCGATCCAATAATATGCTTATGTGGAAAGTATGCAATGAGACACCAGTAACGACTACGGCGAAATCTATCGCTAAAAAGCAAAGTTAATGACTTACATTTCTATTGTTGGCCCCTTTTTTAAGCCCAACTTATTATTAAGAACAACAGCACGCTCTAACAAGCACGGGGCTTCTTTCTATCAGACAAATTTTGTCAGTCCATAAAAATGAGCTAAAGCCAGATAGGATTTATTTCATTTTCTACTAACAGAGTCGTCCTTGAACCAAATTGAAACTGATAGTGGTCATATAAAATTGTGCAAAAAGAATCAAGAAAAGACCATACTCCCAGGAAACTAATGCGCGGGTGTTTCTTAAGAGAAATCGTTTTCCCTCTAATCGGAAACTTCTTTCGTTCAATTAACGCGCTTAAAGGGGACCAACAGAAATATTTTATGTGAAACAACAGCAAGCTTTATTTGCACGACTATAACAAATACAGTGTTGCAAAAGCTGTTTGTAACAGGTAAGAATTCATTCGCTATGAATTAACTGTTAACATAACATAATATATAGATTTAGCCACGGCTAAAAGCGAAGCTCCCATTGATAAATTTATAACTTAAATCAAACAACAATTTTGTATTCCACAAATCAGTTAACTTAAGGGCACATTCATGTGACTTTTGAGGGAAAAGCTAAGTGATTTTGGAGTGAAACAAATCTTGTATCGAGTTGATATAGCCTTATATGTACATCCATAAAATAGTCTTCGGTCACATTTAAGAGCAATAATGGCTCTTGATCACAGTAGATAAGGCGTGGGAAACAAATTCTTGGAAAACACATCTTATTTCTTGACATTTGTCTATATGTAGAACAATTTTGAAATACTGTGAATCATTTCAACCCCTCGCCTTATCACAGAACAAACAACGTTGAATGTAGCGAGCCACACATCGCAGAATCATGCTTCACCGATAACTTCTTTGTAGTAATAATAATAATATAACCATTAGTATTATCATTATCATTGTTGCTGTCTTTCTTGCAGATTCAGTCATGTCCAATAATCACTGCTTGTAAGTCAAGTCGAGAAAGTGAGATTCAAGTGGTGCAACTCGTGTACGAGTTACTGGTGAATGCGACACATTCGAATAAAGTAAATAAGGTATAAAAATACGCTGCTGTTCTGTTTCAATGCCACTGTTTAAAACAACTAAGGACAAATAACAACAATAACAAGGACCCAAAAGAAATACTGGGATACCTGTGCAGTTGTATCCGTCTCCATGGAAACCAGTATTGCAGGTGCAACTGTAAGATCCCTTTGTGTTATTACAAGCTGCGTTCTTGTTACACTGGTGAATATTTTGATCGCATTCGTCAATATCTACGATGAAATAGTTTTAAAGTACGATCATGGAAAGCCGATCCAATAATATGCTTATGTGGAAAGTATGCAATGAGACACCAGTAACGACTACGGCGAAATCTATCGCTAAAAAGCAAAGTTAATGACTTACATTTCTATTGTTGGCCCCTTTTTTAAGCCCAACTTATTATTAAGAACAACAGCACGCTCTAACAAGCACGGGGCTTCTTTCTATCAGACAAATTTTGCCAGTCCATAAAAATGAGCTAAAGCCAGATAGGATTTATTTCATTTTCTACTAACAGAGTCGTCCTTGAACGAAAATGAAACTGATAGTGGTCATATAAAATTGTGCAAAAAGGATCAAGAAACGACCATACTCCCAGGAAACTAATGCGCGGGTGTTTCTTAAGAGGAATCGTTTTCCCTTTAATCGGAAACTTCTTTCGTTCAATTAACGCGCTTAAAGGGGACCAACAGAAATATTTTATGTGAAACAACAGCAAGCTTTATTTGCACGACTATAACAAATACAGTGTTGCAAAAGCTGTTTGTAACAGGTAAGAATTCATTCGTTATGAATTAACTGTTAACATAACATAATATATAGATTTAGCCACGGCTAAAAGCGAAGCTCCCATTGATAAATTTATAACTTAAATCAAACAACAATTTTGTATTCCACAAATCAGTTAACTTAAGGGCACATTCATGTGACTTTTGAGGGAAAAGCTAAGTGATTTTGGAGTGAAACAAATCTTGTATCGAGTTGATATAGCCTTATATGTACATCCAAAAAATAGTCTTCGGTCACATTTAAGAGCAATAATGGCTCTTGATCACAGTAGATAAGGCGTGGGAAACAAATTCTTGGAAAACACATCTTATTTCTTGACATTTGTCTATATGTAGAACAATTTTGAAATACTGTGAATCATTTCAACCCCTCGCCTTATCACAGAACAAACAACGTTGAATGTAGCGAGCCACACATCGCAGAATCATGCTTCACCGATAACTTCTTTGTAGTAATAATAATAATATAACCATTAGTATTATCATCATCATTGTTGCTGTCTTTCTTGCAGATTCAGTCATGTCCAATAATCACTGCTTGTAAGTCAAGTCGAGAAAGTGAGATTCAAGTGGTGCAACTCGTGTACGAGTTACTGGTGAATGCGACACATTCGAATAAAGTAAATGAGGTATAAAAATACGCTGCTGTTCTGTTTCAATGCCACTGTTTAAAACAACTATGGACAAATAACAACAATAACAAGGACCCAAAAGAAATACTGGGATACCTGTGCAGTTGTATCCGTCTCCATGGAAACCAGTATTGCAGGTGCAACTGTAAGATCCCTTTGTGTTATTACAAGCTGCGTTCTTGTTACACTGGTGAATATTTTGATCGCATTCGTCAATATCTACGATGAAATAGTTTTAAAGTACGATCATGGAAAGCCGATCCAATAATATGCTTATGTGGAAAGTATGCAATGAGACACCAGTAACGACTACGGCGAAATCTATCGCTAAAAAGCAAAGTTAATGACTTACATTTCTATTGTTGGCCCCTTTTTTAAGCCCAACTTATTATTAAGAACAACAGCACGCTCTAACAAGCACGGGGCTTCTTTCTATCAGACAAATTTTGTCAGTCCATAAAAATGAGCTAAAGCCAGATAGGATTTATTTCATTTTCTACTAACAGAGTCGTCCTTGAACGAAATTGAAACTGATAGTGGTCATATAAAATTGTGCAAAAAGAATCAAGAAACGACCATACTCCCAGGAAACTAATGCGCGGGTGTTTCTTAAGAGAAATCGTTTTCCCTCTAATCGGAAACTTCTTTCGTTCAATTAACGCGCTTAAAGGGGACCAACAGAAATATTTTATGTGAAACAACAGCAAGCTTTATTTGCACGACTATAACAAATACAGTGTTGCAAAAGCTGTTTGTAACAGGTAAGAATTCATTCGCTATGAATTAACTGTTAACATAACATAATATATAGATTTAGCCACGGCTAAAAGCGAAGCTCCCATTGATAAATTTATAACTTAAATCAAACAACAATTTTGTATTCCACAAATCAGTTAACTTAAGGGCACATTCATGTGACTTTTGAGGGAAAAGCTAAGTGATTTTGGAGTGAAACAAATCTTGTATCGAGTTGATATAGCCTTATATGTACATC